ATACCCAAGACGCCAACGGCAACTCACCGCCGCCTCGTGCCTGTAAGAAGGGATAAGGCACTTGTGCCAGACCATCAAGACTTCAGACGTCATAGACATCATGGGACGTGCCACGAGACGACTCCCGTACGGGCAAGGGGGCAGTGGGGGGGGGCTGTTCTGGGGCTGCCTTCGACATACTTTCGGGCCGTCTTGGGCCATTTTGGGGGTCCCTCATGGGCTACTTGGGGCTTGTATGGGCCGTGTTGCCCAGATTCCTCAGGGTTCACCTGGATTCCTCGTGATCCCTCAGGAATCTTCATGATTACTCACGGTTCCTCAGAATTCCCCGAGGCTCCCCGATTCGCAAGTGCCCCCGGATTCCTCAGAACTCTCGAGATCCACCTGGATTCTTGCGGGTTCCTGGAGATCCCCGAGGACTCCCCCAGGTCCCCTCAGGCCTCCCGAGGCTCGATTCTTGAGGCCCCCCCCGCGGATTCCTCGGGACTCCCTGGATGGTGCAGGGTTCTCAACAGGGTTCCTCGGGAGCGGCGGGCCAGTGCCAGGCTCCCTGGAGAAGTCTGCTTGCGCTCGCAGCGGGTCCCGAAGGTCCTTTTCCAAGCGTTTCTCAGTACTGAATGGGGCCCTGGGGCACACAAATTAATACACGCAAATGACAGGACTCCCCATCTTCTCCTCTATGTTCGGGCTTTGTCTTCCCCCCCACTACCTATATTTTCCCATATTTTCCTGGGGATCGACGATTCATTGTGTCAATGTGTTTTGTGTGTGTGTGTGTTTGTGTGTGTGTGTGTGTGTTTTTTTTTTTGTGTGTGTGTGTGTGTGTGTGTGTGTGTGTGTGTGTGTGTGTGTGTGTGTGTGTGTGTGTGTTTTTCCCCCTCCTGAAATACGTGTGCCCGGACGCTCGCCAGGAGGTCCTTCGGAAGCCCTCTCCAGGTCCTTCCAGAGGGCTTCGCCGGTCCTTTCCACACCCTTCGGGTGCCCTTTCTATCTGGGTTTTGGACTGCACGAGTACAGTCAACCATGATAGTGAGGATGGGGCAACTTGCCAAGGCTGCCCTTGCATCCCTGCCCCCTCGGTATTCGGCATCCTTCGGCATCCTGCGGCGCCCCGCACGGAGAACGTCAACATGGCGTTCAAAAGGCCCTTGCATCCTTACCGCGCATCCTCACTATCCTCGTCGAGTGTAGGGTTCTCAACAGGGTTCCTCGGGATTCGTCCTCGCTCTGGGTCTCTTCTCTTCGGGTGGGCTCGTCGTTTCTCGGTGCCCCTTGCATCCTTACTGCGCATCCTTACTATCCTGGTCGATGGCATAAACGTGCGTGTGTGCTGTGCTGTGCCGAAAAAAATTCGGGGAAGTGTGAGTGCACGAATATAGTGCTGGCATGCAAAGTGCCAGAATAAAATGAGATTTGCGATTCTCGTTGCCCGTAAAAGGGTTCTCAGGCAGGTTCCCGGGAGTCGCCTCGCTCTGGTCTCTCTTCTCTTTCTTTTGGATCGCCCGAAATGGGCACGAAAGAATGGGTACAAATGCCCAACCAGGCAAATGTTGTCCCAAACCAACAGCGGCCGCTGTTGGGCAGGCGGCCTCCTGTCTCGAATGGACACAGGCCGCGGCGGCGTGGACAGCGAGCCCTGTTCAAAATGAACAAGATCCGCTGTTGGGCATTGTACCCATTTCGTGAGTGCAGATCTTCGGGTGGGCTCGTCGTTTCTCGGTGCCCCTGCGCTCTCCTCCGCCGCGGAGGGGGACCCGCCGAGGCAAGGAGCGCCCGGGGGGTCTCTCGGGGAGGTCGGGCCCAGGATCACGAGGCACCCCGGCCTCGAGGCGGAAGAGCGAGAGGGGGGAGAAAGAGAGAGTGAGGGGCAACGGTAGGGGGGGGACCGGCACAGGAGGGTATGCATCGACCTGGAATCGGCGATGCATCGCCGATGGATCGGCGTGAGGCCCCCGATAGTGAATCCGCACCTTGCTGTGCAGGTGGAGGCTATCGGGCCCCTATCGGCGATCAGTGGGTGATTGGGGGTCGATGCATCCCCCCCTATGGCTATCCCCCCCTATCGTTGCCCCCGAGAGAGAGAGAGAGAGAGAGAGGCATACGATTATACATGCGTAGATGCCATGACCTATCGATGTGCCCATATGTGCACAAGTGGCACGGGCGTGCGCAGGCTCCTGCAAGAATGCATGCAGCAAGCACGTATCATATGATATGGACAGGCAGAGGAGTATGACGTCGGACCCGAAAAAGAGGAGGAGCAATAATGAGATGGGGAAGCAGGTAGACAAGCAAATAAGGAGGACAATGAGGACTACCCGGGGCTGCTGGAGAGGAGGAGCCATAGCGGGATCGCAGTCGAACGCAAGTGGGGTTGCCACACTTTGCGATTTGTGCGGCGTAAGAGGGGGTTCGGGTTCCGCACCTTGCGAGTGCAGTTCGGAAGAAACTCCGAATTTAACTTTGAGGGAAGATGTGTTGAACGAAACTTTCATTTTAATAATATGACGACAACGTTGAGTACGTCGGGTTTCAACTGGTTTCAATGCTGGGTGATGTCTCGCGCGAAACGGCTGTTTTTCTAAGAGCGGCGTCCGAAATCATTGAAACCCACGGTGTTGTGGATGTTTGTTCGTGAACTGTTGAAGCCGCGTTGTGTTTTTTTGACAGTGACGTCGCGATCTGCGTGAACGGTGCTAACGGCTTTCCAGATTTCAGAGATGGCCCAAGCGAGATAGCAACAAAAACGCCAAGACTTCAATCAATTCGTCATCTCTCGGAGAGGTGCGTATGATAATCTCCCTATTGGTACGCATCTTGCATGAAAACAAAAGGGATGCTCCCCTTGACGCTGCGGACGGCCCCAGACGTCTTGCAAGGACTCCCAAAATGGAGAAGAGCTTCCAAGGACAAAGGGCCCCAGGAGACCCCCACGAGGGCCGCGAGGCGAAATTCATGGATGTCCATGGAATGTTGAACGATTTCGATGTTTTCGCCTGTCCGGGCTCCTGACAACCGAAGACGCCCCCGTGGGCTTCCAAGATCGCCCCAAAACGGCCCAAGGGGCCTTCAAGAGCGCCCAGACACAGCCCAAGAGGGCCCCGAAAGGGCTCAAGGGGGCTCAAGAGGGCGCCCCAGAAAGGTGCCTCAAGAAGAGCCAGGAAGCTTCCAAGACGGCGCCCCCAACAAAAAACAAGATGGCTCAAGAGAGCCCCAAGATGGCCAAAAAGGGCCCCGAGACGCTCCAGGAGGCCCCCAAGACGCCCTGGAGCCCTCCGAGAAGCTTCCAAGATGGCCAGTAATACCCACAAGAGAACCCCAAGAGGCTCCCAAGATGCCTCGAAGACCTTCTCAATAAGCCCCCCCAAGGCCCCCAAACGGCTCAGTGACAGACGCAGCTTTGACGTGAACAAGAAATCGTGGGACCTAAGAACCAGCGGCGCCATGAGCTCTCTCGGGCAAGTGCCCGCAGCGACATCGTGACCCTGGCTCATGCAAGGATTTCGTTGGTTCTTGGACTTTCTCTCGCCGCGCGATGCCCTCCAGCAGCTGCGCCTCGCCGGAGGCGTGCCTGGGGTGCCCAGATCGTCCCGAACGGGCGCCTGAGGCCTGAGTTGTGGCCCGGCGACCACTCCGAAGAAGACTGGTGTGCTCGACCTGCCGCTGCCCCCCAGACATCTCACCGGCAGCTGCATCTCGCCGAGGGACCGATCACTTCTCCGGCAACCTGTGAGAAGCTAGCCTGACATAACCTTGACCCCTTTCCCCCCTCACCATCTCCACCGAAAACCCACTCATGGTTACCGCCCTCGCCCCCACATGACATGATCACCACCGTGACTGCCCCCATTCCGTATTACCGCCAGCCCCGTCGCGGTCATGCTTTGAACCCCTGCCAAGGCCATGGCCTCAACTTCCATGCTCACGACTGTATCCAATCTCGAGGCCATGACTGTCCCCCCCTCGTGGTCATGATCTTTCCACGCTCCAGCCCCCCTCGCATGCTCTTCTGGAGATGAGGAGATAGGGTCGTCCCCGTCCGTTTGCTTCAAAATCCGCCCCAATGTTTCAGTACGCGGACCTGCTGTTTGCCCAGCCCGACTTCGGGGGGCGCCCAACGTATCCTTCCTGCTCCCCCCGCCCTGCTTTTAACAGCGTCCCCCTCCATCTTTCCACAAATGTCTGAAGGTACACGGACACTGGACCAAGAGTCGAGGCGAAGCGAAGCGAGCCATCATATCAAGTGTATGTATGTATGTATGCATGCATGCATGTGTGTATGTGTGTGTATGTATGTATGTATGTATGTATGTATGTATGTATGTGTGTTTGTATGTATGTATGTATGTATGTATGTGTGTATGTATGTATGAATGTATATATAGATATGTATAGATGTGAGGGGATCATTGTGGTATAATGTGCGTTCCCTCTCTACTCTCGTTCTCCCACTCACTCTTCATCTCTTCCTCCTCATCCTCCTTCTCCTCCTCCTTCTCCTCCTCCCATTCCTCCTCCTCCTCCTCCGCCTTCCTCTCCCCCTGCTCATCATTATCAGCATCATCGTTTCAGCATCCGCATGCTCCTCGTCTTCCTCATGCATTTCACGTTGCCCAGACACGCCAGATGTTCGAGGCCACGGCCTCGCCCACCCGGTTTGAGATAGGCCCGGACGCTGTCCGCCGCGGTGGTCGTTCGCTCATCCTCCTCATGCTGCTCCTCGTCCTCCTCATGATATCCCTCCTCCTCCGCGTCACCTCCTCCTCCTCCACATCACCATCAGCATCATCAGCAGCATCGCCATTACCACCATCATACTCGTCGTCGTCATCGCTGTGGTAATCGTAGGTACGCCGGATATGTCCGCACAAGCGCCTCTGCGGACATATGCCAGCAAACTATCCCCGATGTACGCACATATGCATGTTTTATCAAATATATATTATATGCAGGATGTCCAACTTTTCTATATAGCAGTGTCCTCAACACAGATTGCCAAGTCACCGCTGGCAAGTGCGCGCGGCGGGAGCCTGGCCAGGGGCCCCGCGCGACGCAGGCTTGCGCTTCAAAGTGAAAGCTGTTCTCTTGATCCTAGGCTCTCTACGATCGCGCAGACTGTCCAAGAGCGCCCTTGCAGCGGGCTTCTTCTGAGCACCGCGCTGCCCGGCAGGCGCGGCCTCGCGCGCCGCTGGCTTCCCCCGAACGCGCGCGGCGCGCTCGGCAATCAGCCGCGCGACTCTTTGTCGGGCTTCGCGGAGCGGAAGTCGCGCAGGCGCCAGGACGTCGGTGCCGCACTGCGCCTGGAGCGCGCAGTAACTCTTCCAGTCATCTCGGGGAAAAGCCCAGGCCATAATGCTTCGCGATAGCACGTTGGCCTGTCGCAGCTGCCGCAGCGTCGGGGAATACAGCGCGCAACTGTGGGCTTGCAGCTTCCCCAGAAACCCAATCCTAAGTTGAAGCTCCGCCGTCGAAGCGTAGATGTCCCCCTGGTTGCGAAACCACGTGTTGATCTCGTGGTTGAAGGATTCGTTGACGGACGTGCCAGACCCCAACAAAGGCAAGCGCGCCGCCGGCAAGGAATGCCTGAATCGCTGATTATTGAAGAACCATTGCATGCGAGCAGGGGCGGTCGCATTGTAAAGCAACCTCTTGAGTTGAACGTTGTTCACGTGGGTGCGGCGAGCAAGCTCTTCTGGAACCAACGCGCTCAGCGCGGCGATAGACTCGATGAACTCATGCGTTGTTTTCCATGGCAGCTCGGCGTTCACGTGGTCGATCACATGTTGAGCTCGCGACTTCGCGAATGAATGATCGAGTATCTGTGCTCGCGCGCGCTCTTCTATTGGCCGCAGAGCTGGGGCGTTCGTCCCGTCGAACGGCGCCCCCCAGTATTGCGCGGGTAGCGTGCAATCCACCTTCGTAAACTTGACCATTAGAATCCGCAATAGTCGCGATCCCACCGTCTTTTTTCTCCAGTGCGTCTCCTCGTACGTGATGGGCAGATGAACTGGGTCGAGACTCAAGACTGATAGTCCAGGAAAACATGAATCTCGCAAGGCGCGGAATAGCGCGCTGCTCGGCTGGTCACTGGCGACGGACGCCGTCTGCAATCTGCACGCCGCCGACCAACGAGCTGCAATGGACTCAGCTATTTCATCAGCGCCCTCGTCCTTCGTCAGGAAAACACCGAAAAGATGCGAAAGAATACTAATAAACAAAAACAAACAAAAAAAATAAAAAAAGAAAAAATGAAAAACAATAAAAAAACAAAAGAAAAAAGTCAAAAAAGACGCCAGAGTAGAACCCGATAGCTGAAGGAGTCGTCCTGCCCGCGAGAGTCAGGACGCGGCGCTTGGCGTCCACGTCCGGCACGGGTGCAGCGTCGCGCACTGCTTGTGCGGACCGATAATCCGCCTGGCCCTTGACCCTGCGCAGAATTCGGATAGTGGCGTCCATGGAGACGTGGAGGAATTCCTCATGCCGGTGGCATTCTTCCATCAACGCAGTGCTGCGCCTCTCTACGTGCGCGCTGTTGAACGCGTCTTCCATAAGCTTCAGCCAGTGATCAACGCGCGTCGGCAACATGCTGCTCAGCTCGGAGCCCTGCTCCACGACGCGAGCGCACGTCCGCAGCATCGTCGGGCGAACGCGCCCATGATGGCGCAAGGACTCCTGCAACAGGATATCGGCGAAGCCACGGGTATAGTATGTGTACCCCACTCGTCTGCACGCGAGATTTTGCCCGACTGCTGCCTTGTTTTGATGCGACGGCCCGTCGTCGTCGAGGACCAGGACGATGTCCTTGTCAATGGCGTTCTGTCCGCGATGAACAGCAGGAGATACTGTCTCCCGCAGGATCGTCGCAGATCGCTTCAGCAGGTTCCCTGTTGGGGCTCGCAGGAGCCGGTCGTTGTCGAACAACGCGCACACGACATTGAACTGCTTCGTGCCCGAGGCCACGAAGCGCGTCTTTCTGAGGTGGTACTTGGAGACGTGCGCGGCCAAGAGCGCCTGCGTCGTGAACGATCGGAACGGGCACAGGCCGCAAGCAAATTTCAGTTTGACGCCCTCGCTGTCCCGCTTGGGGCGCAGGAGCGTCACCCCCGCAGCGTAACTCTTGACTTCCTTTTCCAGGCACTCGAACAACTCTGCGCGCACTGCTGTTTCGCCCTCGTCGCCGCTCGGGGATTCAGGTGCATCCGCCGAGCCCACGTCCGCGAGCTCGTGGGGCTGGCGCTGCTCGGCCGCGAGGCAAACCCAGCCCTCGCCGACGTCGTCCGCCGTGCTCTTGCTTCTGATTCGTCTCCGAGCCGGCGCCGGCGCGAGCCTGGCACCGTCCTGCTCCTGGCGAGCGGGCGCGCCGCGCATGTGAGATAGCGCAGAAAGGTGGTAGGAGAAAACAAAACAGGGCGGCAAGGCCGACCCACGGGTGAGATTGCAGAGAAAACACAGGGCGGCAGAGCCGACCCACGGGGAATGCATGTCTTGAGCCGTAGGGTGATGAAGAGATAGGCAACGATCCATCAGCGGCGCTGCCGTCGAATATGTAAGAGCTAGGCAATGGGGGATATCAAGCGACATGAAGGCCCCGCGCCACGTTGGGCACGTGTGAAGGCGAGGAGAAAATATTGAGATGATTGAGAAGTCGCGATTTTGTCTACGCAAAGGTTCGATCGGAAGTCACGGCCCGCTCTCGACTGAGGGCCGCGCAATGGCGTCAGCGCCGCCGCATCCCCCCTAGTCCAGTCGCGGGCGCGAGTCGGCCGACGTCCCTGCTTGCTCTTCAGCCGCGTGTCGCCGGTGCAGTCTGAGCATATCGGCGGTGAAATCTATGTTCAGGGTGTCTTCCCAGGCGACGCAGACTCCGCTGCACCGCGCGCATGCGAAGACGTCGCCGCGATGTTTCAATCGCTGCGCCAACATGGCCCACGCGGAGGTCGCTGCGCGCAAATGCATCAATTCGGGGAAAGGAAATGATCTCACCGTGGCCACGCACCCTTCCAGATAGTGGCCGATGCCGTCGACGTCGCCGTCGTCCATCCCGCAAAGGAAACAGCGATCGTGAACAGGGCTGGGGGCTGTCACCGAGGCAAGTTCTGCGTTGGCAGGCTGAAACCAGCAAGGCACAACAGCGAGGACTCCGGGCAGTCCGGCACCGTGCGGGCCACGCGAGGCCCTGGGCCCGCTCGAACTGAAAGGTTTCACGAGGATGAACGTTTTGTCTTGGCGAATCTGTTGATCCAGTGCGAAAACACGCGCTAATGCCCGTCTCCGCAAGGAAGGGAAGCATGTCATAATAGAATCGAATGCTTCATTTGAGATCTTCGATACCATCAGCGCGAAAGTCTCGATGTCAGCGGCGTCGTCTCTTTCCGGAGACGATGAAGGTGTTCGCGCTGCAGCCGCGCGCGCAGCCCGCGAGGACAGTCGAAGCTTCCTGCGCGCCGGCGTCAGCGAGCGGGCGCCAGAGTACGCGCGCCGCTGGCGAGCCCTCCCGCCAGGCGTCGGGACGCCCACCTCAGGGGACTGCGAGCTCAGAAATGGAGAACTGGCAGCGCGCTGGTCGTCGGTGGCCATGGCGCCGAGGCACGTCAGAGAGATCACAGGACAGCAATGCTGATCCACAATCAGGGAAAGAGCGGGGAAGTCAAAGCAGGCCGACAATGCCGAGCCACGTTTGCTGAAATCCTGAGCCGATGAAGCGAACGGCCGCGCTGATTTTTCCCCCCGCGCATCGCCGAAACGCGAGCTGGGGAAAAATCATATTCCATGCTACTCCCGAGCGGACTTTGCGCGCGTCGCCTGTTGGGTAGCGCAACTTGCGTCGGCATTTACTCTTTGCAATGATGGCATGGGATATATGATATCTCTGGGTGCCCCTCTCCGCTTCGGCTGTTGTTGATACACATAACAATTTCTTTTTTTTGGCTACGCAAGCGTCGCATCCACGCACTCCTTCATGCGAGGGCATCGCTACTTCTGCGGAAGTTGAGAGCACGCGGCTGTCAGCGTGGCTCCCGCAGAGCCCACGCGCGCCATTTTCATCCGCTGCCAGTTGGCATTCGGCAATGGCAACGGCACCTCAAGAGAACGGCGCACAGTCGCAACGGCAACGCCAGTGCGCGACGTCCACTGACATCTGGCGAAAGGCGCGATCGAAATTGGCCGCGGTGCTCAGGCAATAAGGCATGCGCGCCGCCACGACTGGCCGCGGCCAGCCGCCCAGAGGGTCTATCTCACGGACGTCTTCCGACGCCATTGCCCGCAACTCTCGGGACCTCGTGCGTTGAATGGCCATGAGCTCCTCGATCTCTGGGATCACCGGCACGTCGTCCACAAATGGCTGGTCGCCGTTGTCCGGATGAAGGCAGACCACATACATCGCGGCCACGCGGGCGCCGTAGTAATGTTCCAACATCCACCTGTAGATGTTAAGCTGCACCCGGTAATGATTTCCCTGGCAGTCTGACAATCGGCTTAATGGAAACTTCATAATTTAGGATAAAAAACAATATTATAATTTAACAGAGATTCTAATTAGTGTTGATAATCCAATGGGGAATACTGTATAAAATAAAAGTATTAAGAAAAATAATTAAAACAACTTATGATAACAGTCTAAAAAATTGCATAAAAAATAAAAAGTCTAATAGAAAATCAATAATAAAATATTAGACGTCAAATTAACTATACATTAATACCCATAAAGTATATGAAGTCAAAGCTATTAAAAAAATGAAGACAAAACAAATCTATCATATGCTTCTAAAAAATCTAAGTAAAAATACGCATAATACATACATGAAAGAAATGAGAGAATCAAAAATCCTCAGTAGATAAAAATAAAAAAACACCAAAACAATCCAACCAAATTAAAACTTTAAAATAATCCCCCATAGGTTCTCAATTCGTGAACTTCGAACGTAAATTCTTCGCCCGCTTCCAATCGTATATGTACAGGCTGCCCGCAGAGTCTCGAGCCACGAAGTCGATTGACCTAGCGAGCCCCTCGTGCTCGGCGAAGATGGCCCACTCGGTGCGGAAAGCCACCAGACCTTTCAGCGCGCCCAAGAATTTCAAGAACAACTGGAACTCGACGGCATCGCGGGGCACCGGAACGCGGTTGAGGTGGGCCTCGAACGTCCAGTGCATCCAGGTGCCCCGCCTAGCCGCCTCTTCTTTGTTCAGGCGCCATTTCTCCACGATCTCGTGATCCGAGAGAGATAGACTTTCCAGATGGTTTGCCAAGTGGGGGGCCGCTCTCGCAGTTGCCTTCATCTCGGCGCAGATCTCGGCGTCGCAAGCCCCGTGCGAAACAAGTAACTCGTGCAAGCGAGCAGCCTCCGCCGTGGCCCGCAGCTCCGCGACCACGTCTTCCGGGCGAGGGTGGCGCAAATAATCAGGTCGCGGCCAGTTCCGCCCGCTCCGCATCTTCCCAATCACAGCGCCAGCGTCGAAAACACTGCAGTACTCATGTATCAATCCCGTGACCGACCCATGCGTTCGCGCGCCGCTAATGTAATAGGCGTGCGACTCTTCGACGAAGTGCAACTGGGAGTCCCGAGGGTGAGCGTTGAGTCGCTCGAGCAAGCGGATCTTCGGAAGACGCGGCAGCTCGAGGGAGAAATCGCACGGGACTTGGGGCACCTGAGTGCCGGGCCACCCCACCGGCGGCAACGGGCAGAACAGACGCGAAGCTCTGCGCCGCATTGCCTCCTCTCGGTTCGCTGATACCCGGGCAGCCTCCAGCGGCGCGAGCGAGCCCGACGATGACGCCAGCCCATAGGGGGTCGCTCGTTCGCGAGCCGCGCGCCGACGGATGAGTGCGTCCAGCCTATGAGCTTCGATAATTCCAGAAGTCGCGCCCCATGGAAGAGGGCGGCCGCCCTCGGGCCCCGGCCTCCGCGCGCCGAGCTCCACCAACAAGAACCACTTGTGCTCCTCGACGTCCGGAATGTCGCCCCACGCCAACCACTCGCGAACCGCTGGCAGACCTGCTCGGCGGTCTATCACAGTGGCGCTGCCGGGCCGCAGGATGACGGCCGCGAAGTGGCCCACGCTCGCGGCCAATCCAGCTACACCAAAAAAAATCCAAAAAACCACAATACAAAAAACAAAAGAAAAACAAAGGCCAAATATCCAATTAAACAAATCCACACATACACAACAAATATCCAACAAGAATAAAAAAAATAACAGCTTCGCGCCGCGGCGGCTCCCACTTGACGTAACGCCCTGGACCAGTCGGACCCCGCGGCTGCCGGTTCAGGGCGAAGCCGAGATGTGACAGCCATTGGTTCCCATGCTCGAGCGCGCGGAATGGGCCTCGCACGCTGGTCGGCACGTGTGCTCCCAATGCGTTCAGAGCCAAAAAAAAAAAAAAAAACGAAATAAGATAAAAAATGCAAGAAACATAGGAAATGGCATTAAAATAAAAATAAAAGAAAGTCAAAAATTTAAAAAAAAATTAAATGAAGGAAAAAAATAAAAAACAGAGAAGTAAAAAAAAAAAAAAAAAAAAGTAAAAAAAAAGTTAAACAAAAAAAATAAAACAAGCTGAGGCACGCATGGGTGGCAGAAACGCGCTGGTCGTCGGCGGCCATGACACGAAATGCGACAGAAGGGTTACAGGACAGCAATGCTGATCCACAATCAGGGAAAAAGCGGAGAAATCAAAACAGGCCGGCAATGCCGAGCCACGTTTGCTAGAATCCTGAGCCGATGAAGCGAGCGGCCATCGACGAATCGCGACGGCGAGTGGAAGGTGGCCTCGATGTTCAGGTAATTACGAGAGAATATATTTGATATCGTATTCTATCTCGTGATATCATTATGTAACCCTATTCGCTTTACTCCTTGTCAACACTATCCCTCTCTGGATGTGATGCATTTATCACCCGGGGCGGCGCGAGCGCATCTCGGGGGAAAACTGCCGGCCGCGGTCTTCAGGATTTCCGCCCAGCTGTTAAATCGACGCCGAGTGCGCCCTCACCGCTGTAAGTTATGTGCAACAGCGCGCCCTCGACTTCCTCGACGCGGCGCACCCACTGTGCCGTCGGCAGAACGTGCCTGCTGAAACCTCTCCACACGACAACCGAATCTGCCCCTGAAAGGACTGCCGCAGCGCAGCAATGCCTCCGCATATGACAGAAATACTTTCCGGGCACGAGTGGGCATGCACCCTGCCGCGAAGCCTGCTGGCGCGCGACGGCCAGAGAGAAGCCGAAGTGGTCGGCGACGTCGGCGTAGCGGCGCTCCGCGCCTCGACGAACGGGAAATCGCGCACAATAGTCGGTCGATCCGCAGAAGTCTTGCGTCAGGATGCTGTATGCAAGCAGTATGCAGTTTCCATATTGCAGGAGAGCTCGACAGCCGCGCACGGCGGGCGGCGAGGGCTCTACCCAGACGCCGAGCTCTTCGGCCGCTGCCAATTCCGTCGCACCAATTGGCACTGCGTCAAGCAGTTGTGACATCTCCCTGCGCCAGGCCACAACTTTGGCCTCCCACTGCCGTTTGCTGACGTCAGGCAGGTAGGGGTCTGGTGTCGCGGGCCTCTCGTCATCTACCAGCTCGCCAGTGCTGCTCAACAGCTGGATTGACACATACTCGATGGACCGCTTGACCCCGGAAACACATCGGATTCGCCTTCCGCGCGGGTCGGCGTCTTCGACAACCGCGAGAGCATCGCACATGCCAGGTAGCGCGCGGCGAGGCGATGAGGTGCCAGGGCGGCAAGGCCGACCCACAGAGAAATACGGGTAAATGCAAAGCGAGGAGAGCACAGGGCGGCAAAGCCGACCCACGTACAAGATATGCCTTGAGCCGACGCGGCGAGTGGCGTCTCAGAAGGCGCGCAGATACCTCTGCAAAGATCGGGGTGCGAACGGAAGAGTACGCGACTGAACTGCCAATGAATAGCTGGCGCTGTGAAACTGAATGCGCCGATCCCCATCCGTTCCCGCAGTGGCTCTGTGTCCTGAGTGTCCCTGCGACCAGCGCTCGCTCATCCACGCGGGCTAACTAACAGACTAGTTGGGGGCCCTGGCTCACGCTGCGACCATAATATATCTGTTTATCTTATATTTAAATCTATGCCCCAAACTTGATTCGGAGGGGATAACTTTTCATCTGGTCAAGCACATGGGAATCCACGCGAGCAATCGAGATACATTGAGGACTGACCTGTTTTCTGCCTCCCGCAGTCGCTGCTACTAACTGACAGCTCAGCCCGCTCGGCGGCGCCTCACGCCATCAAGCCCGAGAGCCCTGCCAAGGGGCTGGAGTCGTCGCCGCCTTCGGCGGCCCCCTGCGCCGCCGGGCACAAATCGATGCGAAACGCGACTGCTAGCCTCGAGTCTCGCCCCGCGAGGACGGCGTCATGGACATCTGGCAAACCCACCTCTCCAGCATGATCTTTAAAATAAACCGACACCTTGTCGAGCGCGGTCGCCACGTGCAGGAGTGCGCAAGACGGCGATCCGTCTCCATCCCAAGTGGAGCAGATAATGCCCGTCCTCGCGCGCATCGAAACCTAAATGGGGCGCCACCGAAACCTTGTGACTCAGGCAACACTCCCCGTAAGTTCTCCCTTTCTCGACGCTGGCGGCATTGTTCTCTACTGACGAGGCGCCTGCGAGAGAGAGAACGGACGCGGACGCCCTGGCGTCGCCGCACCGCCACAGCGCCAACAGGATACCATTGCCAGGCTTCTGCAAGTCGCCAGGCGCTGCGGCCGCCTCCAGGGGCCGCCACGCCGTGCAGCTTATCAGCGCCTCTTCGACCGTCGGATGGGTCTTCTCTTTGATCTTTACGACGAAGCCTGTTTCCTGCGCGATGTAGGCACTGGCTCCAGCGGCGTAGTCCGCCACCGTGGTATGCCTGGCGAACACCGCGTCCCTGTTGATCCTCACGCCGTCGAAGTGCAGCGATAAATGCATCACCGGCTGCATGAGCACCCACGTCTGCCACTGGCGGAGAATGTAATCCTCTGCGCGCTGGTAGAAAGTGGAGAACGTCTGCCCCTCCGGCCATTTCTCTTTTTTCTTGTCGTCGCGAAGCTCGGCGTCGCTGGAAAAGTCTTCGTATACATCGGGCAGCGCAGAGCACGCCACCCAACGCAGCACGCGGCTGACGCGCTGCAACTTTTTGGCGAAGGGCTCGGCGTCGACGTCGAAAGCGCCGGACCCGCCGATGGTCTCGAGCACGAAGCGCTTGGCCGCCTGGTGCCCCATGCTCGCCAACTCCTTCTGCATTACCTCGTCTCTGTCCTCGGCCAGCTGCTTCAACAATTCCAACTCCTCTCTGAACAGATTCTTCTCCGCCATGTCCATCTTCTCCACGAGTTGCCAGGCGATTGTCAGAACCGCGCTGTGGATGTCGAGATCTACAGTGCCCTGCAACATCGGATGTAGCACGCGGGCCGGGCAGCCCTGCGCTGCCGGGACATCCGCGAAGCGACGGGCCGCAGTGCGCTTGTATTTGTAAGGGATCCTGCGCTCCGCCAAGTCGCTGCCGCCGCTCACGGCCCTCTTCGGAGGGAGCCTCCTCTTCTTCACCCCACCTGGTTGATCGGCGGTGGTCACCGTCGGCCTCTCGCGCGCGCTCTCCAGCATCGCTTCCAGAGTTGCCTCCGCCGCCTGGACGGACATGCCGACCTCGCGCAGATGAGCGTCGCCGCCCGCCTCGACGGAACCTGCGCGGCTTTTCCGCCCGCGCGGCTTTGCCACGGACCCTAGCACCGCCACCATGGTCTCGGCGTTGCGCTTGCGGCAGGCGTGGCCGTTCGCATAGCGCAGCAGCGCCGCGCGGTCCCACTGTTCTGGGAGCACGGTCGGCTCCTCCAAGTCTGGCGTCGGCACGATGTCGATGAACTTGCGAGCGAAGGACAATTTCGGCAGGAGTCTCTCCTTCGCCTTGCCTTGCGACCCAGCTTTTGACCATCCGGCGGAGGCCATCGCTTGCCACGCTGTTGCTCTCTTTTCAGGCAAGCCTTGGATCTGCACTGTATGGAGCTGCTTGTAATACGAGAATGTCAGGGCGTCGAACCTCCGGTCGAGCATCTGCTGGAGTAGGTGGCGGCGCAAGGAATCCATGGGCGCCACCGCATCCTGCGAGCCGCCCGCTCCGATGTCGAAGTCGACGCCGGGCGGCGGGGCAGCCGCGCTGCTCTGGCCGCTAGGCTTCGGCTGGCTCGGTTCCGGGAGAAGACACGCCTGTCGCATGTATTTCTCCGTGATCCCGTTATCCCCTCCGCGCAGGCAGTAGTCATCTATCAACGACCTCGATGCCGCTTCGCCATGTTTCCGTTCGAAGCCCAGCTGTCGTTGCAGACCAGCGGCGATGGCGGGCCCCGACTGCATGAACGGCTTCAAATCCGGCGCCCGCGGGAAGATGCCGTACTTCTCTGCGTCCGGCAGGACGCGCCTGATGTACTCCGCATCAACGAACCGAGCCCAAACCTTGATCAGAAGAGACCTCCGGTAGATGGCGTGGAATGCACCCTCAGAGACTCCGTCGAAGGTGATGAGCTTGTTCAGCTCCATGCGTTTCCACCCGACCAAGTAAATAACTTTTGTCAAAATCTGATACGGGAGTCGACCAAATATGCCGTCGGCAGACGCCAGCTTCTTGAACAAGTCCTCCCGGAAGCTCTTCCTCAAGCCTTCTGGCTTCTCCTGCGCCGTGAGCACGATCGTGCCTTTGAGCGACTCCACCGTCTTCCGCATCTCCTCGTCCAGATAGAACACCTGCGGGTCAAAATACTTGTGGTTGGAGTGCCCGAGCATGGCGTCGAGGTGGGCCGTCGTCAGGGAGAGCCCGACGCGCCGCCGGCCCCCCAGAAGAAGAACAGCTGGTCGACGTTCAACCCTCTCTTCGCCAGAGCGAGGGCGGCCATGCACACTTTGTGCGCGGCGGCATTTGCCCAGAATGTCTGCCTGTAGAACTGGTCCACTCTCGTCGCGGCCGCCTTCAACACTGGGTCGCCCAAGTAAGCTTTGATTTTGTGCGGTATGCCGATGTATATGCTCTTGCGTTCACTCTCCGTCGCGATCTGCTGGATCGGGGTTCCGCCCTGGTCGTAGACGAACGCGATGTCGGGGTGGGCGACGCCCCTGCGCGAGGGGCGCGGAGTCTCGCACCACTCGCAGTAAAACGACGGCAACTTGTTCTGAATCATCTGTATCTGTAAGCTTCGTCCAACTCGAGCAACGCTCACTGCGATCGTTATGTACCACGGCGCGCCGCGCGCGACGCCTTCGTCCGCCGGCGCAGGCGCAGGCACATCGCCATCCAGTTCGTGGGGCTCCATCTGCGTGAGAGCTTCGAGTTCAACTGCAGAGTCTCCCGCGCCTCCCATGCCGCCGCCCTGGCCCTTGCCACCGCCTTTGCCTCCTTTGTTGAAGATGGCGTTGTCGCGCCACGCGGCGAACGCCTTCCGAGCATCCAGCCCACTCTTCTCCAACGACCCCTCGATGGCGAGCATCGCGGTCTCGTCGCCCCGCCGAACCTCGCCTGTGAAAGACCAGAAAAGCCCTGCCAAAGTCAAGAGGTACTCTTTCAGAGCAGCATAGACAATCTCTGGCATGAGACCCTCGTACTTCTCGAAGAACCTCATATTCCCATCCCAAAAATACATGACCCCGTCATGGGCGACGAGGTAGTCACCGCCAAATATGATGTGCATCATCATGACGTACTCTCGGACGTAGATATCGGATAGTCGACATCGATACATGGCCAGCGCTCCGAGGGCAATCCGCTTCAGGTACGGATCCCATGATGCGTGATGCTTCTCTATGAATGCCTTCACCGCCTCCGTCTGCACGAGTATGCTCTGAGCAGGCGGGTCAGGGTCTGCCTCTAAACCTTCCAGCCAGCTCCGCTCGCTGTCTACGTCCATAAGGAATTCGTCGAATTCCGCATTGCATGTAGCAGCGCCTGGAAGCTTCAATCGTCGCTGCATGGAGCTGTTGTCGGCGACCGGATCGGCGGGCGCATCCTCGAGCTCGCTCTCGTGCGCGGCGACTCCTGGGGCTCGCGGAATCCAACTCTGCAAGCAAGACCAATGATCGACCACGTGCCCACCGTCACCGGACTGCTTGTGCAGCCGAAAAAGCGCTACCAACGGGCCGTCGCCGTAAACGCTCTGAACAGAGTTATTCGTGTCCTCGTAGTGCTCGACAACGATCTGCCCGCCCAAGACCTCGCAGAAATAATTCATTTCGTCGAAGCCCGGGTAAGCTTCTCGCCCGGTCTTCAGCAGTCTGCTAGCAGTGGCTTCATCTCCTGCGTCGCGCGCCATCTGCGCGACGCGATCCCGGAGCTGCTTGGCGTTCGCCTCGTCCGCGCAAACTCTGCGCCGATCTTCTGCGTAACCAGGCGCCCGTCTGCCGCGCATCCACGAATACAAATCTGCGGCAGCATTGCAACAGTGATACAGACACAGCGTGTCGGCAGGTACCACCCCTACGGTATCGGCTGGAACGTGCGGCA